ACACACATTGGAAGTTGACTTCTGGCCTCCACACCCATGTGCACACATGTGCATCCACATAAACATGTATGCAAGCATATACTTCATCACATGCTCAAGAGCAAACCCAGGAGGGTGCTGCACCCATTTTACAAGTGAGGACGCTGAGGCACAGGGAAATCGAAGTCCAACAGTTTGATGCTAGACTCTCACGGCACTTATGGGGCTTTGGGGCAATACTATGGGGAAGCAGAGCAGTGAGGAGTGTGGTTTGGAGTCCACCAGTGGCTCCCCGGACCAGGCTGCTTCTGAGCAGAGTGCAGGGCAGGGAGGCACACCCTGAAGGGACAGAGCAGGAAGGCCTCATCATGACAGTTCCCCTGATCACCTGTGCTGCAGAGGGAACCTCTGTTCAGAGATGGGCAGGGTCTCACAGGGGGACCCTAGCCTCTGGATCCCGAATCCCTGGATCACAGGCCCAGGCTGGCAGACATATGACTGGACTGGTGAGGGCTCATTCCAGGTGCCTCTTCTTTGCCCTGAGTTCACATGCTAAGAGGCAGGGGGCATGGCCAGTTTGCCTCTCTGAGCATGATCTGGCTGGATCCAGTCCTCCTGCTGAATTCTCTTGGGGTGGGGGTGGCTAAGCTGAGGGTCAGACATTCCGTCATGCCACAACATGAACAGGAGGTTCTTGTCCTGTTTGCCTGTCTTAGGTAGCTGGGCACCCAGGCATGCCCACCTCCTAGGGCAGCCGGTGGGGGCGGCCTTGGAGGCAGCCAGCCTGAACTTGTCTAGGGAACAGGAGATTGGAGTGGCCTCTTCCCTGTAGGCTGGAACGAGGGGAGAACAGAGAGAAAGGATGTGTGCCCATGCCAGGGACCAAGGCATCCAGTCAAGCATCACTGGGACCAGGAAGAGGGACCTGGGGCAAGGAACTGGCCTGAAAGTCAGACCCTGGTTCAGGTCATGGCACTGGGCTGGCAGTCTCCTTCCCTCCCCTACTGTAAATAAGGCAGAGGCCCTTAGCAGGGTTGTAGGGGAAAACACCAGCCACTTGGATGGTATATGACAAGTGTGCCACTGCTGTTTGGAGCAAGGGGTGAAGAGGGACAGAGCTGTGGTCAGGAGGGGATGAAAGAGTTTCTGCTAGCATCTGGGGCTGTGACTCTTCCCAGGCCACAACCCCAGGGCTTTGGAAATCTGAGGCAGGTAAATATAGGCAGGTGTCTGCTTGGCTCCGCCCCCAGGGAGCTGGAGTGGACTCCAAATAAGGTCTCAGAAAACAGGCTTGGGCGGGCTCAACTCACATGCTGTTGCTAGCCTTCATTCCATTTCATCTGGCACGATGTCCTTGAACCCCAGGCCCAGGCTTGAATCCCCATGAGGCTCAGCAGCCCATTTTAACGGCTAAGAGCGGCCCCCTTTCTCCTCATCTTGGACTAGCCTGGTTTCCATCCTCCTCCCAGGCTAGGGGAAGGGGATGTCCCTCAGTGGGAAAAATCTGTTCTGGGCACTGGCACACAGCTGCCTTTGTGAGGGTGGCTGAGTCACATGGGCACCGCCATCCATGCTGGACCCTGGGGCAGCATGACGGGAGGTGGCGTTATCATCGGGGTTGTGGCTTCCCCCATGCTTGTGGGCAGGAGGCTTTCCCACGGGAATAAAGGGAGTAGGGAGGTGGCTGGGAGCACAGAACTAACACATCTTCTGGGTTACAGGCTATCGGATGGTGGGGTGGCTTTGGAGAGGTCCTCTTTCTGGGCCTCAGTCTCCATCTCTGAAAAGTGGAGCAGGTGTTCCAGAGGGGACGCTGGATGTTCAGCAGCTGGAGCTTTGTGCCCTGTGTGCATTTTAGCGTCCGGATGCTGGGTATTGTGCTCCAAAATACACAAGATCACAGAGCTTGCATGGGAAGCCTGTAGTCGAACTCTTCTTATCCAGTAAAAACCCACCTCTGAGCAGGCAGTGCCTGTCCGGGTGGGCACAGCTTGTTGCTGTTCTCAAGGCGGGCTTGGGCACCTGTTGTTCTATCTGGCAGGTTAGGAAGAGATGGAGGTCTGAGGTCCCCTGAAGTTCCACCAGCCCCCTACTCCAGCCTTCTCAGTGCCCAGACCTTACCTCAGGCAGCAGCCGCAGCAGGCAACAAGCCTTGTTGGTTTCTGATCCATACCCTGGGGTTCATGTCCCCTGAAGGTCTCGCCTCAGTGCCCAGGGAGCAGGTGCTTTTTTTTTTTAATCCTCGGCCAACAGCAAAGAAGTGGCTGGGTAGAGACGCTTACCCAAGTCACCAGCTGGCAGAGTCTGCGGTAGCCAGTTGGCTCTGGATCCTCATCAGTACTGCCTCGCTTCCATCCCTTATAAAGAAGGGGCGGCCATCTGCTTCCTGTGTTCCCTACCTCATTCCGGGCTCTGCTGCCAGTCTGCAATCCCACAACACTTCCTGTGGAGGCACAACTCGATGGCTGAGCCCTGGCGCCATGTTTCCAGTGGCCATGAGAAGCAGAGAGGATGTGTGGCTCCCATCCCAGCGGGCATTAGGGCAGTCTTTTCTCACCCCACCCCTAACTATACACATCAGGAATGATTTTTTTTTTTTTTTTTTTTTTTTTTTTTTTTTTTTTTTTTTTTTTTTTTTGGTTTTTCGAGACAGGGTTTCTCTGTGTAGCTTTGCGCCTTTCCTGGGACTCACTTGGTAGCCCAGGCTGGCCTCGAACTCACAGAGATCCGCCTGGCTCTGCCTCCCGAGTGCTGGGATTAAAGGCGTGCGCCACCACCGCCCGGCTCAGGAATGATTTTGACACCTCCTCTCTCCCTGTTTGACTTCCCGCAGCTCTGTTTCTTGTCTCTTGCATGAGAGTCTTCACCCCGGCTTTCCTTTGTCTCCATCTTCAAGGCCCCTACTGGAGCCCTTGGAGTAGAGACCGGGCTACTTAATCTTTGCCACACACCTGGACATCCTATTAAATTTTAGATTCCCATGGGACAGCTCTGGGGGCACATCTGAGGTCTGGGGTTTCCAACAAGTTCTCATAATCTGTGTACCTGTGACCATAATTTGTGTGCTGAGCACAGGTACCCCTTACTCAAACACCTTGGACGGCTCCCCGTGCCTTTGATCAGCCCGCCAGCTCCATGCGTTCAAAATCTTCCACCATCTGCCTCCATTTCTTCAACAGATCCTATTTCCTTCCAAAGATGGCTCTCCCCACCTCTCCACCCCTGCTGCTGTCCCCTGGAAGGCCCTTCCGTGGGTCTCTGTTTATTGACGTTCCTGTCAACATTCAGCAGGGCCTCTGGAGTCACTTGGTTCATGCCTGGCTTCTAGCCTTTGAAGGGTGTGGCCGAGAGCCCTTGGCTTTCTCTAGATCTGGGGCCTCTTCTGTGTGGTGGAGACATGGTGGAAATGAGTGAAGGGCCTGTACTTGCTAGATGTTTGCTGAGAGCCACGGGCCCACCTGCATCTCAGCTGTGTGGCCTTGGACAAGTCCCTGCTTGTGCCTGACCATCTCACCTCACATAGTGGTGCTGTTGTGAGGTGTAACCCCTCTACGTCCCCAGCTGTGTGACCTTGAACAAGTTAATTCCCTTCTCTGAGTTTCATGTCTCTGCCTTGCCCTCTTCCTTCATTACTACATGCCTGGAGAATATTTCTTGAGGCTCATTCAGCGTCTGGGCAGGTGCTGTGAGGAAGGCATGAGGGAAGGCTGGAATGCAGTCAGTGTGACTGCTGTTATTCTATTACTGCCATTATTGTTATTGTTACCACTTGCCCTCATTAGGTTGTGAAATCCTCACAGCTCTTGCCACCTAGGACTCATTTGTTCACACTGTATGCACAGGAAAGACTGGAGACTTCACTCTGGAGGCCCATGCTCATCCTCCCTCCACCCCTACCCTCTCACCCCCCACCCCAACCTCAGAAGTAGAGGGAACAGCCAACACGGATGACTGGACAGAGCAAGCATAATGGGCATGGTGGGGTTGGCCTATTTCCAAATTGCTCTCTTTGAGGTTTTAGAAGGGCTCTTTACCTGGGCCTCAGTTTCCCATTTGGCTCAGCAGTCAGACTAAAGAAGGCTATTTCCAGAAATCCTTGGGGTCTCAGACTCTAGAACATGGGTTTTAAAAGGTTGAAATGGAAGGAGAGCGGGGAACTCTGGTCTGGCTCTCTGCTAGGAAGACAAGACGGAGACAGGGGTCAGCAGTCAGCCACGCATGGCCTCAAGCCAGGCAGCCTGACACCCTCTTCCTCCAGGAGTGCCTTCCGCTCTGCCACTCAGTGCTGGCTTCTGCCTGCTGCCGAGGAGGTTAGGCTGTCCTTCAGGAAGGGGCAGTGGTCGGCTGGGCCTGGAGGAGGGGGCAGCATCTGAGTGGCCTGTTGCCATGGCAAATCGCTTTCTTTGACAGAACTTCAGGAAGCAGCCCCCCCAGGGACCTTGATAATAGGTGGGCGACGAGGCCCAGTCACCCCGGCTCATACCCATCCCTGAAACTGGCACCGGGGCTCTGAGATGGTTAGAGGTAAAACCTAGGTCCCCACTTGCCAGACCTGAGTCATGGGCATCCCCCAAGGTCCCTGCCTGCCTCACCTCTGTCAGCCGGCCCTGCCTCCTCCTGCCTCCCTCTGAAAAAGCCATGACTCACTGCTAGCCAGTCATCTCATCTCCAGCCTGAAGGGAGGAGCTGAGCAAGGGCAGGAGGGTGTCCCGGCCCTCCCTCCGGTTCTAAGGCTCCACACAGGCTGGCGACTGTAGGAGAGGGGCTGCCAAGAGCCTCCCTCCCGCCCCCAGCCAGTGCACTTGCTAGCATGAGAGGCCCAGACTGGCAGAGTCAGCCTTGGAGGTGAATCCTGAAAGGTGGTCCAGCTGCTTGGCTCCTTCCAGAGCCCTCTGCCTGGCACCAGGTACCCGACTGTGGAGGGAGTGTAGAATGTAAAGGGATCTTGGGGGCGGGGTGGGGGTGGGAGTGGCTCAGATGAGCACAGCTGGGGGGTGGGGTGGGTGTCTCTAGTGCAGAGATGTGTGTAAACTGGAAGCTGCCAGAAAGGGAACCGGGTCAGAGGAAGAGAACGTTTTGAGCCATTTGCTGTTCGAATGGTCCAGTCTTGGGCCCAGCAGTGTGGTATCCGCGCTCTGGGCCTTTCAGTCTCTGTTCTCGGCCAGGTGTTGTGGCACACACCTGTAATCTCAGCATTTGGGGAGGTAGAGGCAGGAGGCTCTCGAGTTCAAGGCCTGCCTAGGCTACAGAGATGTCTGCTCCTATCGCCAGTGTGGGAGAAGGGAGACTCTGAGAGGGCAGGCGGCTTGCCTGAGGTCACACAGCAAGTCCGGAGATGGAGAGCCAGGCTCTGGCTGCAGAAGAGGGGCACTGTGGTGGACTTGGTACGGTGCCCCTGAAGCTGGCCTCCCCCATGGCTTCCCTTAGGGACAGGACGGAGGCCCCCAGGGAACCAGGGCCGTCTAACAACTTAAAACCCAGGAAGGAAGGCACGGTACAGCATCTGCTCTGAACAGGAGGCACCTGGAGTGAGGGTCCTGGGAAGCTAGGCTGAGGGGCCAAGCGCTCCTCACCCATTAACCACAAGACCTCAGGGCCCCCAGCTGCTTGGGCCTGATAGGACCTTAGTCCCCCTTCCCCTGGTGTAGGAAATGGGGCTGGGGTTCCTGTCCTCCCCACTTTCCAACCAGCCATCTGGTGGTGACTGTTAGGGCCTCCAAGGGGCTCATTTTACTGAGGGGGTGGGGTGAGTAGAAGCAGAGTCCCTTTTGTCCCCTTCCCCCTTAGGCAACTGTGGCAAGGGATGGGTGACATGGTGGGAAAATCAGGTGCCTTCTTCGGAAGGCCGAGGGAGGTTGCTTATCTTAAGCGTTCACTCTGCCTACTGAGCGCTCCCTACTGTCCTAGGGGCACAGTGAGCAATAAGGCAAGTAAGGTCAGTTGGAACGTATAGGTGGCCCCCTCCCTGCAGGCCCCTAGGAGTCAGAGACTGTGGGAAGGGGCAGCTCTCATCGGGAGCTGCATGCTACTGAGGGGTCCCCCGAATTCAGACCGGCCCTTGGGTGGCCATCCCTGCCCCGTTCAAAGACTGTACTAGCTTTTGGGGCCAGACTATCTCCCTTTGCTATTGGAGCCCCAGGAACTTGAGATACAGCCCACCTTGGTCAAAGCCGCTTCGCCTGGCCTCTCTCTGGGTTGCTAAGTTGGCATGGGGGTACCTTTGCCACTCTGTCTCCTGGGCCAACGACTTGACTCCAAAATCCCAGCAGAGGGATCCTGGCTCCTGGTATTCGATTAGAAGGCTGTCTGAGGTGGCTTGTGTGTGGCATCTCCATCCTGTTAGGGGGTGTGATTCCAGAGGGAGATGAGTGGACTAGAGGAGATAGCAGGGGCTAGGGGTCTGTGAGAAAGGAGGAGTGAGTCGGGCTCTGAACTGGGCAGAAGGGAAGGGGGAGGGGCCGTGTCTGAGAATGGATGGGTGGAATGTCCATGGCAGAGAATGTAATATGGAAAGAGTTTAGGGGAACAATGAGAGCTGGGAGGCATGAGCCAGCCACAGAACTGCCGCCTGACGTGGGTCACTTCAGCCTACTGATGTCATGCCAGAGGGTCTCAGTCTTCCGTGCAGGGGCAGGGTGAGAGGACTGGGCAGCAGGGTGGGAAGGGCAGAGGATGAGTGCTGTGGGTCTGGCCTGGCTACGCTGCCCTGGCTGCTAGATTGAGCCTCAGGCTTAGGGGTGGCTTCCTGGCTAAGGAGGAAGGAGTAGAGGTGTGAGTCCAGCTGCCAGGAAGGGAAGAGAAGAGAGCGGGTAGAGCTGTGATGGGGTCGTGTGTTCTGTGGGGCTGGCCCGCTCAGTCAGGATCCTGCATGACAAGGGTAGGCGGCAACATGGGCCGGACAGCCGTGAAGGGAGGGGTAGGTGTAGGAGCACTGTAGGTGACCCTGTCTAGTGGATACAGAGCCCTCACTGGGATGTGGGATGAGCTTCTAGGCAGTAGGAGAAGGGGCAGGGCCCTGAGAGGGGTGTTAGAGGTCCTAGTCGGGAGGTTGAGGGATGTATGTCGACACAGGACCCACACCCCAGTGTTGCATCCTTTTCCTAAGATTGAGTAGGGCTTCATACTCCCATCCTGGTCCTCAGGGTGGCCCTTGCCTTCTGACTCACATCAGACGGGGGCATCATGTGAGTGCACCCGGCAGCCGAGGGTGAGCAGCCTCCGGGGACCTGGCAGATGGCAAGTAGGGGGTGGGGCAGAGCTGGCACAAAGGGACCTCTCAGATGCAGTGGGTGGAGCACTGGCAAGCCGTCCCTGGCTCGGCTGAGAGCTTGTCCCTGCTCCAGGCTCTGGACCTCCATCCCCAGCTGGAATTTCTGGGGGCCCCTGGGGAGCTTTTAGAGTCTGAGGTCAGGTCTGAGCTATTGAGGAGAGGGACTAAGGTTAGCCTGCTGCCAACCACTGGCCTGCCTGGAGTGAGGTGGTCTGAGACACAATCCTGGGTCCCATGTACCCCAAACTCTCCAGGTTCCCTGGGATCCCAGCCTGGAACAATCCTAACCCTTCCATGCTGGGCTCAGTACTTCCTTTAGAGAGAAAAAATTGGGTGAGGAGGCTTCCCCAGCGAGGGATCCAAATCTTTGGGGCTCCAGGTCTCATCGTTGTCTTTTTCTGCCTCTCTCGGGAAGCAAGGAGGTCCCTGTCTGGGTCCTAAGCTAGTTGTTGGAGGGCATGTGCCCATTCCCTGACACTGGCAAGCCCATGCATTTGGTGATGAGATTTGGGCAGGTTTGCTCAAAGAGAACTTGGCGGTACCCCTTTCTGGTTGTGCGGGCTTGGACATGTGCCTCTAATTCCTCACCTTTAACTATATCTTTGGGGGCTTCTCTGAGCATGGCAGAATTAACGTGAATACGTTTAGAACGGCACGTGAATCATGGGAAGTTAGCATTTGACTCTCTAGCTCCCATTGGACAGATGGGCATACCGAAGCCAGAGACGTCACTTTTTCTTATCTCCACTGCCTGTGGGGGAGCTGGACACTGGAACAAGTCAGCCTGCCCCGACTAGCCCGATCTGTGTGTCGGCAGGAAGGGGAGCGTGGTTGGGCACCAGGCTTCTGGGCTGGCACTGGCCTTGGTGATGTGTGGAGTGCAGTTCCAGGCAGGCAGAGATAAGAGCCTTACTTCGGGAAGCTGGCCCAACATCCACCATCAGCAGGCAGTCCTCACACATTAATGGGAGATGGGCTGGGGATTAGGGGTTGGCTCTCCTAGGGCCAGCTCTAGTCCCCTGACGCATCCAGGGTTCTGTGGCTAATAGCTTCAGCCTGCCTTCCCTGTTTCAGGGCTACTTTGTCTCCAAAATGGTGAGGTAGAAGACTGGCCTTCCAGCCTCTACATCCCTCCCTTCTGACCTCGGCCCTCTTCCTTCCTTCCAGTAATATCGGCCTGGATTCCCAGTTCCCATGGCAGAAAGTAGGTGGGCACCAGAGACTCATATTACACTGCCCAAGACCACAGCTTCTCTGGACCTCAGTTTCTTTGTCTGTGAATGGAAATAACCAGACCCGTCTCTTGTAAGGGTTGTTGCTGGAACATGGGGCAACATGGGCTGCAAATGCGTAGTTAGCATGCTGCTGCAGCTTTGAGAGGCCTCAGGAAGCTCTGCTCAGATACTCGGGGTGCTTGACCCTTGAAGAGTGACCTTGAGCAAAAGGCCCTCTCCTCTCTTCACTGCCCTTCTCCCTCCTCTTCAGCCTTCCTCTCCCCAGCCTTTTTCCCCCACACAGGATATCACTATGTAGTGGCCTCAAACTCATGATCCTCCTGCCTCAGCCTTCCAAGTGCCAAGATTACCAATATGTGCCGCCATATCTGGCAAGTAACTTCCTTGCCTTGAGTCTCATTTATAGAGAATGAAGATTCCCGAATCTCCAGGAGGGCCTGTAGGGAGTGAAGGGGGTGGTCACATGTTGCTGGGGCTCAGGGAAAGCAGGCCTCATCCCCATCTTCCCAGACCTTCTCCATCTCCCAGGATGGCAGTGCCCTGGGATAGGTTGCATAGGTGATTAGGAATGTGGGGCTGCCTGGTTCCTTCTCAGTGCTGGCAGCTGTGTGAATTTAGACACGTGTGTTAGCCACCTTACCCCTTGTTTTATTTACTTATTTATTATTATTATTATTATTATTATTATTATTATTGTTTTTTTTTTTTGCGACAGGGTTTCTCTTTGTAGTCCTGGCTATCCTGAAACTCACTCAGTAGGCCAGGCTGGCCTGGAACTCACAGAGATCCACCTGCCTCTGCCTCCCAAGTGCTGGGATTAAAGGTGTGCATCACTGCTGCCCAGCCTTTCTTTGGTTTTAAAACAAGAGTGAAAATGGCATCTTGAGAGGATTGAGGGAGCCATGGGATTTTAAGTGCATCATTCCCAGTTCCGTAAGTGCCCCGCTGTTATTGGTACCATTCTGGAACCTTCTTTGGGGGAATAGCAGAGACTTTATCCCAGAGCAACAGTCTGCCCCTTATCAAAGATGTCATTGGGAAGACTCCAATCCTTAGACAGCCCACACCCTCACATATTCCATTGAGAGGGTCTTGGTTGCTGCTCTGAGAATTGTCCTGTCTGGGACTCGATTCTGCTTCCTAAGACCCGGGGCCTTACTTCCAGACTCTTCCCCACTGTGTGTCACTTGAAAGCCAATCAATTTTATTCAACAGCCACCTGCTTTGAGGCTGTCTTCCTCAGAGTTCCATCTGGGGTCCTCGGGTGCACAGAAACTCTTGCATAGGGAGGAGAGCAGCAGTGAGCGGTAGACCAACAGACTCCATGATGAACAGTCTTTGCCATCTACGGTGTCTGGTCCTCCTTTTCTGAAGAACATCACTGCTGACCTTGCCCTCCTAGAACTCCCATGGCCCCTCAGATGTTACCTGTCTGCAATAGAAATCTTACAGTAGTTCATTGCTTATGTTCATTGACTCACAGCTGCTCAGTAGCAGTGGGGTGCAGCCCATTCTGACACAGCCAAGGGTCATCAGATTCCCTGTGTTCTGCGGTCTTCGGGAGAGATGACATCACAGTTAGCGTTACCGTCATTTATCTGGGGCTTCTCTTTAGAATTTCAAGTGCAGGGAAAAGGGATGGAAGACCTCCTTTGCAAAAGGCATAGCAAAGGGAGGTGACCTTTAGGCATTGCCTACTGTCAGATCTTGACCTGTTTGGCCCCCTTCCTGGGTTCAGAGGGGATGCCTGGGTTCCAGTCAGGCTGGTGTCCTGAGCGGCACTCTGTGGTCACTCCTCTTTTGGAATGAGTTCCCTTGGTCCCTGGAGCTTGGGTTGCGTGGCCATCTCCAGCTGAGCCCATTTCTCACGGTATGGTTCTGCGTCTGGAAGCCTGGGTTTCTGATCTTGTGGTGGTGACAATTGCCCCGACCCACCTGTTTTGATGCTGACAAGTGTGAGGGGTGGACCTCAGGGGTTGGTCAGGGCAGCTGAGTCATGCTGAACCTGGGTCTGATTCCCGCCTGTTGTATCATCATCTGGGCAGGGGCCAAATGGCTTGGGCTGGCCAATAGCCCGTCTCCTGTCTCCACTTCACTGCCCAAGGCCCTCGTGCTGTCTTTGGTACTTCCGCTCCTCCAAGGCTTCATTTTTATCCACATTTCAGAGACGATGAAGCAGGTTGGGGGGGGGGGGGTCCCTGGACTGTCCATGGTAGCAGGAACCTGGTCACTTGCCTCTGGTAGGATTTGTTCCCATCTGTGCCCTCAGGAGGTTGTGAGCACCCCATCCTTGCAAGTATTCAAGTTGGTCAGAGAAGCCATGGAGGGGCCTTGGGGGGTCGTGAGGCTCTTTTTCACAGTTCTTCTAGCTATGAGCTTTCCCAACCCTGGGGAGATGGCACCAATGACCATGCCCTTTAGAGTTGTTAAGTGTTACCCAGTACATGGGTAATGTCTTTGAGAAGACATAATGCCCCTCCACTACATTGCTGGCCACTGCACCTAGCTCTCCCATGGGTGCATCTGACTGCATCTTCGGGGTGATTTCTAAGACAGCACGTGAGGAGCTGGGGGTGAGGGAGGCTGTTTTGTGCAGAAAGGGCACACATGCACCTGCGGAGTCTGGGACCTCTTGGTCACCCTTACCCTGTGGTCTTGAATCTGGTCAGGTGTGTAGGCTACCCCACTCCTCCTCCCCAGTACCAGCTGTGATACCACCTTGCAGGAGTCGTGGGCAGTGGGCAGGGCAGTAAGGAAACTTATTGCCGACACTTGTCCCACACTCTTCTGGCCTCTGCCTCTTGTATGCATTTTGGATCCCTGATGGTAGGGTCTGGGTCTCGAACCTGGCACAGGGCTCACCTCCTGGCACAGGGCTCACCAGTACCAGCTATGATTGGGGAAGACAGCTGACATTTCTCCCTGGAGACCCTGCCGTGGGTATCAGCACAAGCAGGTGTCCCCACTCTGTCCCTCTAGTAGGGGAACCAGAGTTCAAAGCTGCAGAAATGTGATGTGTGAGGACAGTGGTGTTCACACACCACGTGAGTGTAGAGGAGTGGTCTGGCCGAGTCCGTCAGCCGTGAGAACTCAGGGCTGTGGTTACCACCTCTCTGAGGCTCCATCTCTGCCTCTGCAGGGTGGCATGGGCAGCTAACACTCTGTGTTGTGGGGCTGCCAGGGCAAGAGTGGGGTGCTGCAGCAATACAACAGAGACACGTGGATGAAGGAGTCACAGACTGGGCTGGGGTCCATGGCTCTGGGCAAACGGCTTCCCTCTGTTTTCTCAGCCGTACAATGGGAAGGAGAATCCCTCCTCACAGGTGCTAGTGAAGGTGTGGAGGCAGGTGCATGTCGTGGGGCTCCCAGGCACATCCCTGCCGTGACCTAGCTCGGTTCTGTATCCCTAGTCCTAGTCCTCAGAGGCACCCACCCACCCACCAGAGGTTCCTATACCTCAGCTCCCATTTCCTCTTCCTGATCCACCTCAGATTTCCTGCAGGAGCCTAGCAGGGAATGTGTCCTTAGTAATAGTACTGTGACCTTGCTTTGTAAGTGAGTCTTGCTCCTGGGCTCTCTAATCCCATGCCACAGGAGCAGGCCCTTGAGGGGTCCAGGTTGGTAACACTGCCTGTGTATGAAGAGAAAACCTGGGGCTCGGTGTTCACAGTTGCTAGTCGGCTTTCAGACGCCATGTCATCCAGAAGCCTTTGGAGCGCCCCCCAGCCCATCCCAGGTGGAGTAGGAGTAAGAGAACTTGGGGGCTTCCGGTCCTCTCAGAGCTTTTATTAGGCTACTGAGTGTTGGAGGAGTTAGCCTAGAGTCTCTGACTCTCTCGGCTCTCAGGCTGTGCATGGTTTTGGGATCCCTGCCCTGGTCCAACACATGGTAGAGATGCTGGCACTCCCTCCCCGGGCAGAGGCTGGGGACAGCCGGGTGCTCGGGCCCTGGAGCGGATACCTTTAGCCTGGATCTGCAGCATCTGGCCTGAGCTCAGCTCAGCTCATTCACTCATTTGTTCTACAGCAGCACCAGGCAGCTGCTGTGGTCCCCATGTCGCATCAGCAGGGACGTCAGAGGTACAAAGCCAGACCGACGGGGCTGGAGACTTGCGGCTCAGTGGCTCTTGCGGGGGACTTGAGTGTGAGTTCTAACATCCATGCCAGGCAGCTCACTACCACCTGTCACTCAGCCACAGGGGCATCTCATACCCCTGGCCTCCAAAGCACCTGTGCTCACAGGCACAGACACGCACAGAGAAACTAACATGCATACACGTATAGTTGAAAAAAGCACAACAACAACAACAACAACTCAGAAAAGGCAGCAAATGCCACCAAAGAATAGTAATCAAGCTCACGGCAGGGGAGCTTCAGAAAAGACCAAGAGCCTTCAAACAAAACGGGTGACTAGAAACACCATGATGGACAAGGAAGACAATTTGAACTGGGGAGTCACAGACGGCATTTCAGGAGGGGAACATTTGAATGAAGGCCCAAGAAGGCCAGTCAGACGGGAGGTCTTAGAACTTGCCATGGTGAGGGTGGAGCGTGTGCAAAGGCCCTGGGGTGAAGCTAGAGGTGCATTGGGCTTGGTGAGTGTGAGGAAGGTGGGGTGGGGGTGGGGCGGAGTGGGGTCACTGGTTTATGTTGACAGCTGTATTGGTCTGTGCGTCTCCGATATCCGACAGACATTTCTGATCCCCTCCTCCCCTTGACTCAGAGGCATGGTAGAAGCTCAGCGAGGGCAAAGCTGGTCTAACTCCGGCTGTGGTTCCTGAGCATCAATTAGCCGTCAGGTTTCTGGTGGTGGGAGATGGGTGGGAGGCTCAGGGGCTGCAGATGGGAATGAGGCTGTGCCCTGCTTCTTGCTGAAGTGAGCAAGCACCCAGTGTGTGTAAAGGGCCTGGGGGGGGGGCCCTCCCTGTGGGTCCTCAGAGCCTCAGCACCCTGCCAGCTTCTCTGAGGTCTCAGGGTCCTTTGATCCAACATGGCTACCTTCCCAGACAGTGGGCCTTGGAGCTCTTTCTGGAGGCCAGGAAGGTGTCTCCACCCCCTTCCCCCACCCCTGCCCAGGACAGCAGCTCCTTTCTTTGCTTTCTTTTCCTCTTCCTCCAGGCCCAAAATAGAGCCTGAACGGTCCCAGGCTCTGGCAGTGAGACAATAGTGGCCTCCTGACCGCGGCAGCCTGCTGGCCCGGGGCCACGGGCTGAAGGCACTGGGCTAGTGTGCCCAGGGCTCCAAGCCCTGCTCCTTTCCCAGGGCCTGTGCCAGCCCCTTCCACCTGAGGCGTGGGATCCCCTGGGGTTCCCACTGGTGCTCTGGGCAAGGGCTTGCCACCACTCAGCGGAGGCCTGGGACCCTGTGCCTCAGCCTTGGCGGCCCCACTCTGTCCTTACCTGCTGCTGGCCTGGAGCTGGAGGCCCTCGCCCACCTCTCCATTCTCACTCAAGTTTGTCTGAAGCTCAGGAGTCACCCCGAGTGTCAAAAGTCTTTCCCTTTTGACTCACTGGTTAGGAAGGCTCCACAGAGATCAGAGCTGTGCCCACTCAGAAGGAAGTGAGCGTCCTGTCCTGGAGATCAAATAGAGCTTGGATATGCATGTCGAGGGGACTAGACAGGATGAGATGGATTGCTTAGAGGCCCAGGCATCTGTGTTTGCGTTCTATAACCTGCCCTTCCCAGTTGGTAGTCTTGAGCAATCATATCCCCTCCCCAGCCTCTAGGGTCCCATCTCAACATAGGCTCAAACCTGGCTCACCATGCAGCGTGGTGGAAATGAACTTTTAAATGCCCAGTGCTAGGTTCTCTGTGAAGGAGCCAGAAGCTTTGATGCTGTTCTGCTTTCTTCCTAGGCAGGTAAAGAGGAGCCTAGAAGCTCCCACCCCAGCCAGGGAGCTCTGGAAGAAAGGCAGGAGGAGCCCCAGCCCCAGGCTGGCTCAGAAAAGGGATTATGAATGAGCTCTGGCAATCTGGGAAGGCTTCCAGGAGGAGACAGATTCCTGGCATTTTCAGGGAAGCATGGCATACACTCTATGCACCGCAGCTGATGGTAGGGATCAGAGAATGTTTCACCTGGCTTGTGGTCAAGGCCATAGGGGACCATCCAGCAAGTGCCAGCTTCCAACAGGTGTCATTCGGCCGAGGGTCTGGCTCCCACTGTGTTCCAAAACCATTTGGTGTTAAAGTCATTGCGGAGGGCCAGAAGTGGTGGCACACACCTGAAATCCCAGTACTTGAGGCTGAGGCAGGAGGATAGCAAGTTCAAGATTAGCCTGGACTGCATTGCAAGATCTTCCCTTAAGCTCTCCCTTAAAAACAACAACAACAACAACAACAAGAAGCCACTGCAAACTAACTGGAAGATTTCATGCAAAAATCTACCATTCTGCTTCTGTGGAGAACTTGGGTGCTCTGGGGTTTTGAGGTCCTCTCAAGACAGATGGCCTACACTCTAGGACCTGCTTTCTTCTTGTACCCGAACCCGGCTCGCCTCTGCCAGTGCCTGCCTAGCCAGGCAGCCTTGGGATGGAAGGAAGCTCTCACACTCTGGCGCTGACAAGTCAGAGGGCCCGCGCTCTAAGCCAGGCAGTGACGCAGTCCATGCAGCTGCCAACGGTTGCCAAGGGAACGGTTGCCAGGGGCTGCTGTCACCTGCGCCCCTTCCTCCCCCTTGGCGCTGGAGGCCCGTCTTCTCAGCCCAGCTTCCCGCCTGCCCCCTTTGTTTGAAGCTCTAGTGAGGGGGTGGTGATGGGTGGGGGGGCAGGCTTCCATGCGACCTTCAGCCCCTTGTACTAGGGGAAAGTGTCCCTTACTCCAGGAGTCGGCTGCCGGCAAACAGGGAGTCTTCGCCCAGTCACTCTTTTGCCTGGAGGAGGAAGCCAGGTAGATTTTCGCTCCTGCCCTCTTTTATCTCCCTTTTCCTCCCTTTTCTCACTGCCACACCCCCCCCATCATCTCCTTTCCCTCCTCTGCACCCTCCTTTCTCCTCTCTCCTGTAACCCTGCATCTCCTCTTTCCCTGACACCGACACGTAGATAATGGTGGTGGGCTGCCAGGGACCCTGGGGGCATCCTAGCTGGTCCTCTAAGGCGACTCAAACAGCAGTCGTCTGGAGAACCACCAGGAAGTGGTTGGGGGTAGCCACACACTCCCTCCCGCTCTAGCTGAACATTTTGAGTCAGCTGCAGCTGTGGTCACAGCACAGGTCTCAGAGAAGGGTTGGGGGAGATAACCGGACGAGGAGGGCTGGAAACACCACACACAGCCTTGGGAAGAGCCGTAGAGGACCTGTGATCCATGGTCACCTGGGTAAGTTCATGCAGTCCCCTGAACTGAGGCCTTATACAGATGGCAGCCAGCTTAACCCAAGGAGACCATTTCACTGTGACTTCTAAATAGAGGCTCTCACTAGCAGGTGAGCTTGCCACTCAAGAGTGGACCTCTCTGGAGCTAGCCTGGATTCCCACGTAACCTTCCCTCCTCACTGTGTGACTCTGGCAGGTGACTTGGCTTCCCAGGGGCCTCATGGTCATCTGTTCAGTGGGTCGTGATCCTTTTCTCATGGGTTTTTAAGAAGATTAACTGTGTTAATAAAAGCCAGTCCTGGTGGCTCAGGCTTATAATCCGAACAGTTGGGAGGCTGAGGCAGGAGGATTATAAGTTCATTGCCAGGCTGGGCTACAGAGAGAGACACACCATCTCAAAACACAAGCAGATAAATGTGTCAGTTGCTCAAAGAGCGTTGAGTCCTGCCCTGCCTTTCTGAAGTGTTTTGTTGACTCTAGCTGTGTTACTGCAGGGGCCGGCACCTGCTTGTGGGTATCACAGAGGAGCTGAGGGAACCTTTGTGTGCTCAGGGAGCTGGGAGGGGGCTCTGGGCAATGCCTCCTGCCTCCTCCCTGCAGGGGCCTTGGAACCAGTCACAGTTGGGAGCTGCCTGGCTTTGTGTCCCTGAGCTGGCAGCCTCCGGGCCAGGAAGGAGGAGGAGAAAAGGGAGGTTTGGTAGCTGACCTTGGGAACAGAAAGATCCTACAGTCTACAGATGGGCATTCTGCCTGGTTCAGGGGAGCCCAGTGTAGCCCCCAGAAAGCCAGCGGGTGGCCTTGGGCAGCTCAGGAAAGCAGATGGGAAAGGGGAACTTCGGGCAGACATAGAGACTGCTGTCGTCTGAAAGGGAAGAAAGTCTGGCCAGGGCTGGGCATCCTCTTTGTCCCTCACTGCCAGCGCAGAGGTAAGGTCCTTCTTCATCTGCAAGTACCGTAAATCTGCCCAAGTGACAGGCAGAGGATAGGGGTCATAATTGCTCATTGACAAAGCAGGAAACTGAGGCCTGCTGAGAGGCAGGCTGGCCTAAGATTCCAGGCTTAGCTGGTCTCTGTGTCTGTAACTGCTACTGCTACCCAGCCCTGAGAGGCAGATGCGGCCCCATGTACCAATGCAAGAGGCTGGCCACAGTGGCTCGTTGGATATGAGCGTGTGCTGGACACTTGGCTTTGGCCTGGCTTGGAACACCCAGGACAAGAAGCTGAGGAGGGCTGGTACCAGAGTCCCTGGACTGCCCAAGCCCTAGCCCATGCTGGGTTAATTATGGTATGACGGATGTGGGTTCCCTGGACGTTACCCCACTCCCTCTCCCTTAGCTTCTCTGACTCTCCAGTTGGCTTTGAGCATCTACATCCTTCGACTCTCGCTTTTCCTCGCTCTCTCCAACATTCCCAGTGTCTTAGCTGCTGGAGATAGGACGTGGACCGGAGTTGGCTAGGGGAGGCTGTAATGGACCAGGCCACTTTGAGTCAGACATGGTACTGCCCTTTCCCCATGAGCCACTACTGCCTGTGAAGGGAGGCAGAACCAGCCTGAGTACACCCCAAACTCACAGGGGACCCGTCGCCTGGAAGTGTCAGAGAATGGTAATGAGGGGCCCTGGGGATCACTGCAACCTAAATGGCTTCAGTGGCCCATCTTGTGCTAGCTAATAGCCTTGGGGACAGCTCAGAGAAGGACAGGGCCTGGAGACTGTGTATGTGTGTGTACACACGTATGCACTTACATGGAAGCGTGTGTGCTGATAGGCTACGGTGTGGTGTCAAGGTATCTGAGGGCTTGTTTTTCACACGGATGACGCGGTGTCCATGCTGAAGGTCCTACTGTCACATTGGTTTCGGGACTGGCCCCAGTAGGCTTTCTGCTGTTTCTCCTTGTGGGACTTACCCGAGCCTTTGCTATGCTAAAGCACAAGAGAAAATAGAGTCCAAAGGTCTCTCTAATCCGAAGATAAGGAGCAAGTTCCCCCACAGTAAGGCCAGGGAGACTGAGGGAGGGAAGGGAGCCGGTAACCACAGTGGCTGAAACCATTGCTCTGAGGTTAGCCGGACTTGGTTTGAGTCATAGCCTGGCTCCCTCTTTGCTGTGTGATCTGGGCTGTGATGTACGCCCTTCGCGTTGTGAGTTCCCTGTCTTTGGATAAGCACTGTTCCAGAATTAGTGGACGGTGAGCTGACTGCAGAGTCAAGCGCGCTGGGCCACTACGTGGCAGTGACCTTGCTGGTGCTGGCGCTGAGTGCTTGCCGGAGGGGACTCAGACTCCAGAGTCCCTTTCCCCAACCTGGATAGATCCCTGCTGAGCCCCACACGCTGTCTGCTTCCTACTGGTCACCGTGGAGCTGTGGAGGAGGCAGAGGCCTGAGCCCAGGACAGTGGATATGTCTCATGTTAGCATCACAGGAAGGGCCTGTGTGTAAGGAAGGTGAAGGGAGTGGCCAAGGCCAGCTCACCCCTGCTTGGTGGTGATTCTTGACTTTCCTAGGGCCTCCCGTGTGCATGTCTACTTGTAGGAGCAGGAAGCTGCCGAATGGTCAGCTGCTGAGGCTTAGAGTGCTTTGTACCCACAGGCCCTCTGCTGGCTGGCACTCACTGCCCACCTCTCTCCTCCCTCAGTTTCCCCATGGGGCAGGGCTGGCAAAGGGTGCTGCAGCTCATGGACATGGGCAGGAAATCACAGGAAGGTCAAGCCTGTGCTAGCTGTGCAGTCCTATAGCGAGGCTGGGTTTAGAATGGCAACTGTGCCCTGCCAGACGACTCAAGCCTGTAATCCTGGCACTGGAGGGGCTGAGGCAGGGGGATTGCTGTGAGTTTGAAGCCAGCCCAGCCTAAGTGCAAGACAACAAACAAACAAACAAACAAACAAACACACACAAAAAGCAAGCCTAGCCCTGGTGTGTAAGGCCTGGGAAGCTGCCAGCATCCAGCAGGTGCCAACTTGATTTTTATTATCACGCAGTCTAGACAGATTCCTGAAGCCTGAAGTCACTGTGCTGCCCTGTGACCCCAGTGCTCCTTCTCAGTGAGAGGTAGGTTCTGGAGGGGTCAACTTGCTTGGCTGTCAGTCACCCAACTGTGGTGCGGGGGCAGACAAAGAAAGCAGGGCCCGGCATTCACAAGTGCTGTGTTCAGAAGCCAGGGGGCGGGGGGCATAGCCAAATGAGCCAAATGAGCGGGGAGGCAGCTCTGCCCCCTGGGTTTCGTAAGCATCTCCTTTGAGCATCGGATGTGCTGTGGTTGATGTTTGTGAGTTAGGGAGCTGTCCTGATGAGCCAAGCCTGGAAAGTATTGGAGGGGGGATCAGCCCTGTGCTCTACGAGGCCGCACATTCAGGCCTGGGTCAGCCAGCTCATGTGCCCTGGTCCCACTCTGGCCTTGGTATGTGTCGAGCCTCCTCCTCTTCTGCAGAGATAATGTAGTCCACTCCAGCCCTCCTCCCCGCCCTCCTCACCCAGTGCACACTGCAAGTTCACGCTCATGGGCCCGTGGACACACACCTGCAGCTCTCCAGGCTTATGCTCTGAAGATCCCTATTGTCTCTCCTGTTCCCTCTCTGAGCCTCCAGAGCTCTCAAGGAACACATTCTACAGCCTTGGGTTAGAAAGTAGCTGATGGTAAGCTGGGCCTCTCCTCATTCTCCCTGGGTTGGTCACAGGAGGCTCAGACCTGGAAACTAGTTGGCTCCCTCGTTCCTCCTATGGGCTATCTCATGGGAGGCACCTCAGATAACCAGCCCCTTGCCAAATACTGGGACCATATGCCATGCCATGAGGAAGGGACAGGAATCAGGAGAGGTGGGCTGCCTGTGTCCCTATCCAGGGTTTGATCTTTCACAGCTGAGTAAATGCTGCAGTCCCTTGCCTGCTCTGATGGTGCCCAAGTCCAGCTGCTGGGTACTCCTGGTTCCCACATGTGGCCTTTCAATCACTGGATGCAGCCAGAGCCAGGCTCCGAGTCCTACCTGAGCTGTGGTGCACAGGACCCAGACCATATCCTTCAAAGCATCTTCCTGGGGTGGGTCCCAGTGCACTGATGGTTTGGGGCACCTCTAATGGGGCCAGCCCTTGGCAGGGAAATACATAGGGCTGTGTGTGCCTGGGAAGAAGCCGGTATTCCTGTAGACTCAGGCGTTGAGCGGAAGATCACAGTGGAATTCTGCCATTCAGAATCCAGGAAATCCTGGCAAAGGCCCGAGGCTATGGTATATACCCTTGGGATAACCTGTAACCCCAGTGTGTGTGAATGGGTCCCACTG